TGCATGCATGCATGCATGCATGCATGCATGCATGCATGCATGCATGCATGCATGCATGCATGCATGCATGCATGCATGCATGCATGCATGCATGCATGCATGCATGCATGCATGCATGCATGCATGCATGCATGCATGCATGCATGCATGCATGCATGCATGCATGCATGCATGCATGCATGCATGCATGCATGCATGCATGCATGCATGCATGCATGCATGCATGCATGCATGCATGCATGCATGCATGCATGCATGCATGCATGCATGCATGCATGCATGCATGCATGCATGCATGCATGCATGCATGCATGCATGCATGCATGCATGCATGCATGCATGCATGCATGCATGCATGCATGCATGCATGCATGCATGCATGCATGCATGCATGCATGCATGCATGCATGCATGCATGCATGCATGCATGCATGCATGCATGCATGCATGCATGCATGCATGCATGCATGCATGCATGCATGCATGCATGCATGCATGCATGCATGCATGCATGCATGCATGCATGCATGCATGCATGCATGCATGCATGCATGCATGCATGCATGCATGCATGCATGCATGCATGCATGCATGCATGCATGCATGCATGCATGCATGCATGCATGCATGCATGCATGCATGCATGCATGCATGCATGCATGCATGCATGCATGCATGCATGCATGCATGCATGCATGCATGCATGCATGCATGCATGCATGCATGCATGCATGCATGCATGCATGCATGCATGCATGCATGCATGCATGCATGCATGCATGCATGCATGCATGCATGCATGCATGCATGCATGCATGCATGCATGCATGCATGCATGCATGCATGCATGCATGCATGCATGCATGCATGCATGCATGCATGCATGCATGCATGCATGCATGCATGCATGCATGCATGCATGCATGCATGCATGCATGCATGCATGCATGCATGCATGCATGCATGCATGCATGCATGCATGCATGCATGCATGCATGCATGCATGCATGCATGCATGCATGCATGCATGCATGCATGCATGCATGCATGCATGCATGCATGCATGCATGCATGCATGCATGCATGCATGCATGCATGCATGCATGCATGCATGCATGCATGCATGCATGCATGCATGCATGCATGCATGCATGCATGCATGCATGCATGCATGCATGCATGCATGCATGCATGCATGCATGCATGCATGCATGCATGCATGCATGCATACCTTGTATTTTATGGCAGTTTTAATACCAAGATTTTACCTTACATATATTATATTTTACTCTCATGTTTTTATATTATTCTATTCCCATATAGATGTTGTTTATTATTGAAAATAGTTCCTGTCACTGATTGTACTGAAAAAAAAAAAAAAAAAATCTGTATATATAGCTTTAGGTACTATTATTTAGGGGGGGAAGTATTTATCAATGTTTGTTAAATATTGTGAAGACGGTGTATTGTTAGGCTTTGCAATTGATAAATAATTGTTCTTTCGTTTCATTATTGCCTCAGTAGCTTTGAACATATGTCCCTGAAGCACTGAAAAGTTTCCTTTAAATTGCTTGGTTGTATGCTTAAGGATGCAAAACTTAGTTCTTGTGAAATGATCTTACTTGCTCCCACCCCCCCCCTTTGGAATGATTGTGCAAGGAAAGCAATCATGATGTTTTGATGTCTGGGATTGGGCCATCCTCGAAATCTTCGGGTATCTTCATTTATAAAAAATGGTGACTGGTCCTGCTGTATTTAACACTTATGATGACATTATGATTCTTGCTTTTGTAGTGTGCTTTAAAAAAAAAAATCACTTTGGAATTTGTTTTTCTGTTGGACAAGATCTGAAAGTTGTGTTCTTATGGTATGGGCATGTTGCAGATCACATTGATATCTTGAGGATAATTAGCACACAAAAGTTGTATGAAGGTATACATGTCTACATGTTCTCAAGCCATTTGCCCAGAAATATTTTTTATTAAATGTTTTGTTAATTTAAACTTCCATCTTTAGCACAAGCATCAATATGTTCTCATTAATGTACCCTGTGTCTTGACAGTAGTATTAACATGAGCATATTGATTCTAGTGATGCTATAGGTCAAAATCTAAACTAACAAATTACTTATTA